TGAGGCTATTCCCGCGGTGGATGCTCTTCTTGAGCTGGACGAAATTTCCTTGAAGGCAGGCGACTTAACCAAAGTGGTCATTGTTTAACCGAAGGAAGAGATCAACTCGTCGTCGCTTCTGGACGAAGCTGTCCCGGAAGACACCAAGAGGGTGCTTCGCGCACGATGTGGATCTTCAATCTGAAGATTCCCTCGGATCCGTATTATTCATTCATGAAATTTTTTTATAATGTCGTCTCCTAAATCCTGCCATCGGTACTACCTCCGGACAGAGGTGTGCGTCATGAGATCTACCTGCTTTCGAGTCCAAACACTGCGTAACACATCAAGGCCCCTGCCCAACAAGCAGTGTAACGTCACTAACCCTAAATCCTAACCACGACGCAGGAATGGTGCGTGACAGCAAGTCTCCCCTTTCGACACCCACGTTTTGTGCCCGGAAGCCGAACGGCAAGTGGCGTATCGCTCACGCTTACAATAAGCTGAACGCTGCCAATATTCCGGGACAGACAGACGATTCCTAGGAATGGGTTCAAGAACCTCATGGTTGGATATACAAAGTACAGTGCACTCGACTTGGTCGATGGGTATTACCAATTGCTCATGAGAGCGAGTGTTATTTTGCTGATAGCGGTGAGTACTCTTAATGAGACGCACTTAAATTATATGACAACCTAAGACCTGCCAAATGCATCAGCAACATTTAATCCACATGTGACGCAGCTCTTCAGGACCCACCAGGCGTATGCGCAACCATACTTCGACGACATCTTCGTCCGCAGTCGTGCAGAGCACGGGAGGACAGATGAGGAAATTCCAAATCGTCCATATGAGAGCGGTGCTCGAGTTCATGCGCACAATTATGCCGTATGCTAATGCAGAAAAGTGCATCTTCGGCGCCCAAGAAACCCCTTTTTAGAGTGCTTCATCGGGAAGCGTGGCCTTCGAGCGGACCACGCTAAGGTCAAGGTCATACTGGTTTTGCCAGAACCCGATCGTATTTTCAGTGTCGTCTGTGACGCTTCAGACTAAAGCATCGGTTGTACACTGCTGCAAGCAGACTCTGAGATGCGAGATCGAGTGATCGCGTTCGAATCTCGTCAGCTAAAGGCTGCGGAGAAGAACCACCCAAGCATGTACATCCGCTTGACTCAAAGCCGTTTGTGATATATATAGAAAATGCGTCACTACGCACTGCAACTCAGTCACCTCACCTCCCGCATTGGATGGCTTGGTGGCTCTCCCTCTTCGCAAAATATAACTTCGAGGTGAAGTATAATCCAGGAAAGCAGAATGCTTTGGCTGATGAGTTGCCACACAGACCAGATAATGAGCTTGATCGTGTCACGACGGCGACGTCGTCCGTGACGGATTTGATCAGCGCCGCATACGCGAGTGATGGTATGTGTATAGCACTGCTTCAGGTTCTCGTGGGCGAAACTTGGACACGAAAATGTTTGCGCGTAACAGAAGAGGTCGACTATCTTTAGGGTGCTAGGCACCAAGTTGACTAGGTCAACAGCGGACCGTCCGCAGACCGATGGTCAAACTGAGCGCGTGAATCGCGTCATCGAAAACGTTTTTCGCAGCGTCTGAGCTGCGATACCGAAGCGCTGGAGCGCTGTGTTGCCACTCGGAGAGTTTGCTCCGAACAATGCAGCGCATTCATCTACCGACTAAATGACGTTCTATGTGAACGGGCTTATGAATCCCCGCGTCCAGCTGACGCCACCAATAATAGCTCAGGGCTTGGTGGGGGAGGAATAGCCGAACGGCTAGCTGCTGTCGGCCCCCTCACCGTGCGTTAAGAAGTCGGAGACTTCCTGTCCACTAGACTGAGTATCTTACGACACGTTCGCGATGCTATGGCTGAAAGCCAAGACATGGGGAAGGAATATTCCGACGGAAAAGGAAGAAGAATCTTTTTGAAAACATTGAGGTCGGAGACCTGTTTTTTCTAAAGCTAAAATCCTTACAGCACATTCAGTTTATGCTGTCTTAAAGATGAAGCTCCGTCCACGATTTATTGGTCTTTCTAAGGTCATGTCCAAGCGATGCCATGCGTATACGCTTAGCCTTCCGAGAAGGATGCGCACCCACCCGGAGTTTTATATGGGCTTTCTAAGCCGTACCGGGATCTGACGCACGTTAAGGCGAAAGCGTTGGCGCCGGGAGGGTGCCAACGCGCTCATAGGTGCTCGACCACCCAAAAGCTGGACCAGCAACTGGTTTGGGTCACGGACTGCAATAATCTCCATTTTTAACGGCGCCAAGCGCTCCACCTTCGCATAAAGCGATGCATTCGTCTGATCAACGGCTAGGAGCTGGTCTGACAGAGCGCAATAGTCCTCAACGTGACGGAGTCGGCGCACAAAGCTCTCAAGGTCTTCTGCACAACCTCGGCAAGATGCTCAGTAGAGTGCCGATGACGAAGAGCATCACGAGTCACCGGACCGCGATTGACCAAGTCGTCATCGTCCACCACCGACTCTTCTCGAAGAGAAGGGTGGTGACCACTATCACGTGGAACGCCTTGTGGGTCGACGTCGTCGATGGGAGTTTATCCCAATATCTTGTGAAGTGGCGGGGATACCAAAACTCCGAGAACTCGTGGGAGTTTGAGGTGACACTTCGGCAAGATTGCTTAGACGTCGTTGGCACTTATGATCAGAAGAATCATGACGCTTAGAGTCGTCTTGCGAACCGCGCATCTCGGTAGTAGCTCGAGAAGCTGAAGGACCATGAGCTGAGCTCAAGCTATGGCCCTGAGCTGCTGTGATCGTAGACTCACCCGTGTGGGAAACCACAGTTCTCGCGGAAGCGTGATGGATGACTCTATGTGACGCAGGGCGATAATACGCAGGAAGTTGTCGTTGCGCCTTGAGTCTGGTAAACTCCTATTTAAGATGGAGCTCACCGCGCACGTCCACTTCCTTGTGGCTCCGCAGTAAGTTTGACAGCGAGACAAGTTTCCGATGCCGCTGCACCCATCGCTCAAAGAACGCTTCATCATCTGCAGCGGTCTCGCATGGGTCAAGAACAACAAGAATAGTCCGCATCGCGGGTTCAGGAGCGCCTCCTGTTTGAGCTCTAAGTCGAGCGCGGTACCTATCCGTTGAGATTCTTGAGGTACCAAGAAGCGACCTCGGAGAGCTTTTCGTTGGTCAGGCTCGGCTTGTGTAGTGGCTGGGTGCCGACTACGTAGACACCTAACGATTGAGTGATTGCGTCTTTTGCTTCAGTAGCGGCATCCGCCGAGTGGAAGCCATATTCCACACAAGAGCCAAGGACCGAACGTGGATACGAGCACATAAGAGGTACCCTGTGGATAGCCTCCAGCCGCTGCTCTTGTGCCTCGTCGAGGCGATTGATAATATACCACTTCCCCTGGAAGTCAAGAGGTCGGGAAGTGGACACGTTGTCCGCAAGGTTTGAGCAGGGCCACGTCTTGCCGTTGGCGTACCTCGCCTTTCTCTTCTTTCATTCTGTGAAAGGAGTATCCGACTCGTAGCCGACTTCCTCCGAATCCTCGACGAGGAGATTAGTCGTCCGTGGCGGACGCGGTGTGCGGCACTCGTTTGTCGATGGTTGGAGATGTGCTTCCCGTAAAGCCGCGGACATACTGCCCAGAGTTGCACCGCGTGAGGAAGACGAAGAAGGGCTCTGCCCGCTAGGCTGGGTTGTTTTTTGTGTCATATACACAGGGCTCATTGAGCAGAGAATGCGTGAAAACGGGCCTAGAAGCGAAAAGGTGTCCTGGACACGCGAGCGTCATACGAGGCGACAGTGATATGTGAATTTTGGGTATTCATAATTTTGATGAGATGAGTGTAACGAAGTTACACTTACCCTGGTATGAAAGGGTGGGTTACAACAAGATGGTGTGGCCGTACAAAGGCTGGATGACACAAGACGGTGTAATCATACAAAGGTATAGCTACACCATAACAACAAGCCACTACGTGGCAGGACTGCCAGTGGTAATGCATATTAATAAGGGTTTACTACTTAATTAAGAAAATCTAGATATTTAGATATAGGCGGCTCTGCCGCAAATAAAACAGATAGTTTTCTATTTGAACGGAAAAGTACATTTGCCTTGGGTTAAGGATTTGGTACTCTTGGATGTAGCGGATTGCGACCCGCGATACTCGTGATTGTTCTAGTGTAGGAAGACGTTTGATGACCTTAAGTAAGCTTCCTCTAAGCAAAGAGCTACGGCAGCCCCGTTTTTTTTCTCGGGGTAAGGTTATGGTAAATCTTGGAGTAAGCAGATTGCGATCCGCTACACTCGTACTGGTTCTAAGTACAGAACGTTGGTCACCTACCTTAGAGAGCTTCCTCAAAGTGAAAGAGGCCCCACTGCAGATGTTCAGCCCCAGTGCTCCCTTCAGTGTACTAACCAGGCTTATAGGAACTCAAAGTTATATTAGCATAGCCTCTAAAAGCACTTGATAAATCTTGCATGTAGCTTTAGTAACCGTTCACTCATTTTAATTCAGTGTCAAATTTGCCCTTAAGGCATCAAGTCATTCCTCTTCCCTTAAAATTGGGACCGTCCTCCTCCCTCCACGTCGAGAATCGCTTCCTCGTAGCACAAACGTGTGTGATGTGTTTAAGGAGTTGTTAAATCACTTGGTGCTGTTGGAACAAATGTAGCTCACTTCGTAACCACATACTTAGATCATCAATGCAGCGAGGCTGCCGAAGCTTTGCGCTTGAGGAAGCGTACTTTAGGTCACCGACCTTTCGTTCTTTCCAAGAACCAAGTATGAGTTAGCGGATCGCAATCCGCTTACTCTAAGAGTAATTATTGCCTTCCCAAGGCTGATTGACTCTTCGGTTTAAATTCAAAACTGATTCTTATTAATTTTTTATCCTAGTTTTGAAAGTTTAGATTTCTAAATATACTAAATATATGTAGTAAAATCGAAAATCATGCATGACTACTGGCTACCTAGCCCCGTACTGTATTCTCGTTTGGGTGTGTGGTCACATTATGCACATCTCGTGTGACACGCACACCCCTAATATTAGGCTTCGTGTAACCCCGTTACACCCTCCCCCATTAAGATTGAGAACACTAACAGTTTTAATCAATTATGGCCTCAACGAGGCTCGCGTGTCCGTTAGACACTGCAACTCCATTTGTTGGAACAAACAACTTCCTTGCCCAATGAGCCCTGTGTCAATGACACCTAATTCTCCAAGTCTTGCCGGTTCATACGGCGAGCATGGGCAGAGCCCAACTTCATCTCCCGCACTCGGTGCAACGTCGGACAGTGCGTAGAGTGTATATCCTAGGCTCGATGAGCACAAACGTCGCACTCCGCGCACGCTTTCAGTGC